GAGTAGGGAGAAATATAAAGGAAACTACTCATACTTCATGTGAAAGATACAACAAAACACAAATTTCATATATAAAAGAAAGTTCATACAACAATAATAAACAAACAACACTTATCTAAAACTCTATCTCAAAGAAAATCCTTTGTAGTCTCTCTTAGGAAATGTAAGAAGATCTTAGGAAATGTAAAGGAAATGTAAGAAGAAGAAATCTCTCACTTATCTCCCTCTCCAACACTTCTTAGAGAGTAATTCACACTTAAACTCACCACAAAACTCAACACCATAAAGAAAATAAATGACTAATGGTGTGTAATGATGTAAAGTGGAAAGGAGGAGTCGAAGAGATGCGAAGGGGGGAGGGACCTTTTCTAATCAATTTCAGCTCTAAATAGATCCTAGGGCTCTAAATAGATCCTAGGGTCAGTCAGTTCTCCAATAGTTGCATCCAAAAACTCTTCAAAAAGCGTCCAAATTTGTTGAATCTTCTAGAAACAGGGTCTGCACCGACATAGGCATCGTCAGTGCCCATTCTGGCACCGTCGGCACTAGTGGCCATCTAATTAATTTCGTCTTCTCTGTCAAACAACACTGTCGGCACTGAACAATTTTTCAAAATTTCTATGTTCTCCAAATTTCATCATTTTTGCTTCTTTTTTCTTCAAATCCTAAAAATTAACAACCTGAAATAAAACATAAAAATATCTTTCATTAAAGTGCAATATCACCAAAAATAAGTATAAAATATGGGTCTAAAAATGTATATATTTTTGGTGTATCATTAATGTTCTATTATTTTGGTGTTATTGTGGTGTTATTGGAGTGATGCTTTGAGGGTTGTTGCGGTGTTATTGGAGAGTTATTATGTGGGTTGTTGCGGTGTTATTATCATGTTATTTTGGTTGTATTATGGTGTTACTAAGGTGTTATTTAAGTGTTATTATTGTAGATTTGTGGTGTTATTGATGTGTTATTGTGGTGTTATAATAGTTATATTTTGGTGTAACTGTAGTCTTTTTTGTTGTGGTATTGTTGTGGTATTCTGGCGATTTAACAAAAAAGATGGTGCTTACTTAACATGGTGAAGATCAAAAAAGAGAAAACACAAGAAAATCAATTATAAATTTATGGATTCATTAATAAAATCAGTTTAAAGGCATCACAGTATCACTGATGCAAATAACAGAGCCCAGAGACAAAGTATGCGGATTCAGCTCTGAAATTTGGCATTTCTGCTTACCAGCCCGATTTGTCATTCTGGTTAGCTACCTCAATTTGTAATAATGCTTCCATATATTTGCAAATAAACATGCCACCGTCAAAATTGCTAGTTTGTAGAGGAGGGCATTTTGTCATAACAACTGGCCATTTCTATAGATTGCTCTGGAAAGCTTTGCCAGCATCTCTTACAAATAATTAAATTTGCAAAGTTTCGGGTTGAGCTAAATTATCATACAATACCAAAAAATATGAACTAGAAAACAAATCCCTGAGCTTTTATTGAGTATACTTACAACACTGTGAGTGATCACCTTGTGCATCTTGTTTAATAAAGAGTCATATAATCTTCCTTTTTTTTTTCTTTCATCTCCCCAACCAACAATGTCTGATGTTGTTTATCAATAATAGAAAATAAAACAATTTCTACATTTTTTACATTTTCTTTTGTGATGTGTTGCACAAACATTGAGTTCTGTCTATCTTTATATATAAGAATAAAAAGAAACAAATGTCATTGTCAAAGAAGTTTACAAGTAAATGTTGCATTAACTTTATAAGATTTAGTTGAACTTGAATAACTTTCCAATGTAGTGGCAATACATATAGGAATGGTTTGCATAATGCTGGTGATTTACTCTTCTTATTCTTCATTATTAGCGCAAAAGCGTCCTCATGTTCGTCTGCAAACCACTCATTTGTCAGTATGTCATCAAGACTAGAACGACATATTACCACATGTTCCTCATGTTTTTGTGATATTTGAATATAAAAGTATTGCATAACAGAAAAAATGTGAACATTTACTAACTCATCAGTGTATCTGCTACAACATAGATGAATTACTTGTTGCCTTTTAGGGGATATTTCTTTTCTATCAGGAAAACTGATGACTATCTCAATTGGACGAGGCTACATAACCAAAAAGTAATCATCTATAATGTTAATTAAATTTTATGGTACACAATAAAAAGAGTTTTTTTTAATAAAATATCTCTGCGATATAATCATATGCATAAACAATATCCGTCAATTTGTCTTAGAGATCTTCATCGTCATCTGTGATTGTAATGCGCACATGCATCAGAGATTCCATGACATCTTTTATTAATTGTTCTTCAACTTCAATAACTACAAGTAACCTGTCACCCCTAACAGTCGTATTATCTACAACATCAGTTTTATCTCGTATTGTTTGTTCTACTTGTTCAAAATCTACACGTAACTTCTTATCCCCAGTTGAAGTATCTACATCTTCTATTGTCTGTTGTTCCACAACATCCTTTATTGTTTGTTGTTCAGTTGGTTTTTGAACATTGGCTTCATCTTCTATTGTTTGTTCAACTTGTTCAATATCTACAAATAACTTCTCACTCATTACGACTAGAGTATTTACAACATTTTTTATTGTCTGTTGTTCCACAACATCTTTAGTTATTTTCCATCTCTTGAACTCAAATGCAATATATGGGGAACTCAATTTCCTCTTCATTCAATTTTGTTTAGCATTCAAACTTCAGATTATACTGCCAAGAAAGGATTGATGTGTTTCTTTCTTCATTGAATTCCAATCTAATTCAATTATTCTATTTTCCAATTTATTAACCTCAGCCTTGAGGTCTGCAACTATATTTTTTAAATCTGATACTCTGCTATTTATTGATTCTTGAAATTCACAAAGAAAATTTTCTTGATTTCTTAGTAATTGAAAAGTTTTTTCGAAGCCATTATTGACGCTTGTACATGTTGGTTGTGGGGTGATGTCACTTAAAACAAAAGGGTCAACTTCATATGAAATTGGTGACTGCGGTGTTGGATGAGTTTCATGGTGTGGAATGAGTTTAACTAGATTGGGTTGTCCTTTAATTGGAGGGGTGAGCAGATGGTGTTCTTTGTCTTTCAAATCTAAAAAAGATTCGCAAACCTACAATGAGTCATAATTACAATTACATGTGATATGGAATTTACAAAAAGAATAAAATTAGCTAGTGAGATTATAACCAGTATAAGGTTAAGCTTCTTAAAGGTTTGATGTATTAGGGATGAGTCCCAGCTCACATTTGCTGGCCACTTCAACATGCGAGGCCTGACCTCAAGTGCAGTAGGAGTAACTAGAGATGTGTGCTCATAAAACCAAAGCTGTGTAAATGTTAAATCATAATCTACTTTGAGTAAAAAATAAAAGCACTAACTATGAGCAGAAAAACAAATTATTTATATATCTCAAAGATTGATCCCGCCTTCATTTTGTGACGATGACATTCACTTGATTAATAAGACATCCACAATTGGTAGTAGACCAATTAAAAGAAGGAAAAAAATCTACATTCTTGGCAAAACTGTAAAGCTCTTTAGGCACATTAAAGTTGCTTGAATGAAAAAAATAAATTTAATAATAAAATCTTTAAAAGTAGTTCAACAAATAACATAAAGCACTCCTCGGATGAAACCTTCATTAGGTCATTCTTTATTTGTATTGCAGTTAAACCACAAGAGGGGGTTTTGGTCTAGTGTATTAGTTCTCCTTTGTTGGGCATGCCTATCAGTAGGGTAACCTGATTAGAGTCGAATCTTAATTCTTTCCCTCCATTTCTGAATACACTCTTTTGAACATCCCAACATTTCATAATGTGCATTGTTAGGACATTATCATACAAATATGGAGGCAAATCAAAAAATTAAAGCACATTCAAAACTTTCAAGGTGTTCACAGTATCCTTGGATAGGGTATGTTTGACCTTATCAAGAACAAATCTTACAACAATGGTCGGCACCTATAATTGAATATCCTTGGGTTCATAAACCTACAAAAGAAGATAACACAAAGAAGACATTTTGTTAACGCCAAATGTGTCCATAATAACACTAGAATATCTATACAATTACACCAAAATATGTCCACAATAGCACAAAAATATGTCTAAAATAACACCAAAATATGTCCACAATAACAAAAAAATATGTTTATAATAACACCAAAATATATCCACAATAACACCAATATATGTCATTAATGAGCAAAAATAACTCCAGAATAACACAAATATGTCCAAAATAACACAAAAATATGTCCACAATAACACCAAGAAATGTCCACAACAAGAACAAGTTCTCTATACAATAAAACCAAAATATATGCAGACAGATTAAAAACTTAATAACAACAAAGTATATGTTCATGATACAACACATATATGTCCATAATAAATAACAACAAAATAAATACATGGTAACACCAACTTATTCATGCTGGTGTATTGTGGTGTTATTAGTGTAATAACATTGTGTTATTGTCGTGTAAAAGTGGTTGTACAGTGGTGTTATTCGTGTCGTCATATTGTGGTGTTATTATGGTTGTATTATGGTGTTATTAGTGCAATTGTGTGATGTTTTATGTTCTTCCATTATGGTGTTTTATTTAATAACATCGTGGTATTGTCATGTAAAAGTGGTTGTACAGTGGTGTTATTCCTGTCGTCATATTTTGGTGTTATTGTGATTGTATTATGGTGTTATTAGTGCAACTGTGTGGTGTTTTATGTTCTTCCATTCTTCTAAGTTTTCCTTGTCTTCTTTTATTCTTTTATATTGACTTGCTTAAGAACACAGAGAAGTACATGAGTTCCCTCTCTAAACACTAAATCCTTACAAATGATTTGTGTTGGAATAACCTAAACATCACAAGACTTACATGGCTAGTGAGAGCTACCACGACAGTTATGCATCTGACAACCAATAGTGAAAGGGATTTCAGACGAACCAAACCCTATTTATTGAAATCTCAGATGAATAATGCTCTCTCCAGCGAAACCCTATCCGATGGTAATTGAAGAAAATAAAAAAAATTGAAAATTTGTGAAGAGTTTGGTTTTCAAAGTAATGGGCAGGATCGGGTCGGGTCATGCATTAAAATAACTACATAATAATACCGCAATAACATCACATTAACATCACATTAACATCTCAAAAACACCACAATAATACCACATAACAAAACATAATAACACTGAAATAACAACAGTCGAATACCACCGCATAGTTGCCGCAATATCACTCAAATAACACCATAATAACACATCAATAACACCACAAGAACATTATAATAACTCTGAAATAACATCAGTTGAATACTGCCATAGAGCCACCACAATACCATTCAAATAACACGTCAATAATCCCACAATATTACCGCAATAACAAAATAATAACACCAGTTGAGAATACCACCACAGAGACTTTGCAATACCACTCAAATAACATCTCAATAACACCACAATAATACTGCAATAACAACGGAACAACACCATACCAACACCAGTTGAGAATACCACCATAGAGCTGTCACAATACCACTTAAATAACACTAAAATAAAACCTAAATAATACCACAAATAACACCAGTCGAGAATACCACCGCAGAACCGCAGTAATACCGCTCAAATAACACCACAATAACACCTCAATATCAGCATAATAATACCATAGTAATGTTATAATAACATCAGTTGAGAATACCACCATAAAGCCACCACAATGCCAAACAAACACACATCAATAACATTTCAATACTACCACAAAAATACTGCAATAACACTATAGTAACACCACAACACCTGCACAATAAAACCTCAATAAAAACATAATAAACAACAATAACACCATAACAAAACCGAACTAACACCAGTCAAGAATACCTTCATAGGCACCGAAATACAACTCAAATAACACCATAATAAATCCTCAGTAACACCTCAACAACCCTATAATAATATCACAGTTACAACATAATCACATTATAACAACACCAATCATATATCACTACAGAGCCGCCACAACACCACTAAAATAACACCTCAATAACACCACAATAATATTGTAATACTACCGCAATAACACCAGTCGAGAATACCACTATAAAGTTGCCACAATACCACTCAAATAACACCACAAAAATATCACAATAACACCATAATAACACTAGTCGAGAATACCACCACAGAGTCATCGTAATACCACTCAAATAACAACATAATAACAACACAACAACTTCAAAATAACACCTCAATAATACTAGAAAACACATGTCGAGAATATCACTACAGCGCTGCCACAATACAACTCAAATAACACCTCAATAACAAAATAACATCACAATAACACCATAATAACACCAGTCGAGAATTCCACCACAGAGTCGCCACAATACCACTCAAATAACACCACAATAATGCCGCATTAACACTACAATAACATCGATTGAGAATACCACCATAGAGCCGCCACAATACCACTTAAATAACACCAAAATAACACATGAATAACATAATAATAACAATAATAATAATAATAATAATAATAATAATAATAATACCACAATAATAACACAATAACGCCATAACAACACTAGTTAAGAATTCCACCACAGATCCGCCACAATATCACACAAATAACACCGTAATAATACCTCAATACCATCACAATAAATTCATAATAATACCACAATAGCACCATAATAACACCGGTCGAGAATATCACCATAAAGCCATCACAATACTTCTCAAATAACACCACAATAACAACAAAGTAACAACTGAATAACACTGCAATAATACTGCAATAATATCACAATAACACCACAATAATACTAATCAAGAATACCACCACAAAGCCACCACAATACAACTCAAATAACCCCTTAATAAAAAAGTAACATCGCAATAATACCACAATAACACCATAATAACACCAGTCGAGAACACCTTGATAAAGCCACCGTAAAACCACTCAAATAACACAACAATAACACCGCAATAACACCGCAATAATACAACAATAATAATGCAATAACATCATAATAACACTGGCCAAAATTACCACTAGAGAGCCACCGGAATGCCACTCAAGTAAAACAATAATAACACCTTAATAACACCATAATAATATTGTTATAATATCAAATTAACTCTGCGAAAACACCATTTGAGAATAACACTACAGAGCCCACAATACCACTTAAATACCAAAATAACATCTGAATAACACCACAAATAATACTGCAATAACACCATAATAACAATAATCAAGACTCCCATTGCAAAGCCGCCACAATACCACTCAAATAACACCAAAACAACACTTCAATAATACCAAAATAATACTGTAATAATATCTAAATAACACTATAATAACATCATTCGAGAATATCATTATAGAGCCATCACAATAACACTCAAATAACACCGTAATAACGCCAAAAGAACACTTAAATAATACCACAATAATACCACAATAATACTACAATAATACCATAATAACACTAGCCAAGAATAACACAACAGAGCGATCACAATTAAACTCAAATAACATCTCAATAACAAAATAACACCGCAATAATACTGCAATAATACCATAATAATACCAGTTGAGAATATTATCATAGAGCTGCTGTAATACCACATAAATAACACAACAATGACACCTCAATAACACCACAATAATATTGCGATAATAACACAATAACACTAGTCGAGAATACCACCATAGAGCTGCCACAATACTACTCAAATAACACCAAATTAACACCTGAATAACACCACAATAATATCACATAAATACCACAATAACACCATAATAACACTAGTCGGGAATACAACCACAAAGCCACCGCAATACGACTCAAATGACATCGCAATAACACCTTAATAACACTAAAATAATATCGTATTAACACCATAATAACACCAGTCGAGATACCAAAAAAGAGCATCATATAGCTTGAAAACCTTCAAAATAAAATCCAACATGAAATCAACATGAACTTTACAAAAATAACAACCGAATACCACCACAAAACCGCCATACTAAAATAACAATAACACCACAAGAATACCATAACAAGTTTTTTTTAGATTTCATCATCAATATTTCTCATCCGACAAGAGAGGCAGGGACTGTGGCAGGTATGCATCTGTCATCCGACAGTGCGAAGGATTTTAAATGAACCAAATCTTAGCTATCAAAATAACGCTCTGCGAAATCCTATCCGATGTCGTTAGAAGAAAGTAAAGATTTATTCGATGCGAAGAATTTTGTTTTCGGAACAATAGATCAAATGGAACTGAATCATGCATTAAAATGTATTGAGCATTTTTGTTGAGTAGATCTGTCGATTAGACTAGGCCAACTTACATTAAAGTCCGGGCAATATTTTTTCGTGCCAAAGAGACAATGAGTTAGATCCCTTGGATCGGAACAAATATTACGCCTGGACTCCGGACGTAGAGATATCTCCGAAGTCCAACTTCATCAAGCTACGTGGAGGTGAAAAAAAAAATAAAATTGTTTTAACTCAAAATAATATTCTCCCGTATTTTTTCAGATTATTCAGTGTTATTATGATTATATTAGTGTATTATTGTGTTTGTGAGAATTTTTTAACAAATCGCCGCAATATCTTTCGGGTCTAAGTCGCCTGTTTCTTCCCCTTGGCGTCGCAAGAGACCGGAGAACATGGCCGGCGATCCATACTATAGATACGTTCCGGTGGAAAGAGGTATGCTTCCCATGGCGTTATAGACTTTCCTCTCCTTCTTTTTCTCTTTTCCTTTCTCGCATTCCCGCCGTCTTCTCGCCGCCTTGTTTTTATTCCCTTGAGTGTTAGTGCGAGTAGGAACTCTCTCCTGCCCTCACCCTCGAGGTTCCGACTTGTCTTTTTTCCGTTCATGTTTTCTTTCCAAGATCTTGCTGCGAAGTTCCCATGATTTCGAGGGGTTACTTGATCATTCCAATTGCTCCACGTTGGTTTGAGGGTTTTAATTTGACGGTTTTGGTACATTTTTTATGAAGATTTAGAAAGGGGGAGATTAGCTTGTTAGACTTGATGGATCAAGGAAAAGTGGGAATTTTTTGTTGAGTTGTTTCCTATTGGCAATGGAATTCTGAATTTTCCTGCTGGCATTGGAATTCTGAAGCTGTTATTTGGAATTATGTGTTAGAAGACTAATGTTTTTATACAATGCAAAAACCTTCAAAATACATCAAAAGTGATGATTTTGTTTTTGCTTTCTTTAATGATAATGAAATCATTATTTTTTGACTTGTTTTCTACTTACAAGCAACTAATCGTGCTCCTGGTGTAAAATGTTGTGCCGAGACGGGAACCAATTTGCATGAACGGACACACTATTACATGCTTTATGCAGCAGCTTTACAATATGCACTTTTATGTAGAACCGTGAATTCTCATTCAGTTTCATGTTTTGTTACTGTCATCATCTAGTTTTTTGTTTTGGAATGGATTAAAAGCCATGCTTGTAATTTACCTTGATTTTTTTAGCTTCCCTTGTTTCGACTTGCAAGTCCTATTTTTATATCTAATGGATACAAATCTATATAATCTCGTAAAGCTATATTTCTAGCCTTAGTGATCCATACATTTTGTAGGAATGACAATGATTAGTTTTCTCTTCTTTTTTCGATATCTCTTGGTAATTTCAATGGAAAGGAAATGTGCTGTTAAAGGTGGAAGAAGTGTTCAATTTGTATTCTGTTTATATGTACAGATAGACCCTTCCATCATGGATTGTGTCTATGTTTGAGTCTACATTGGTCTACGTACACTATGAACCATTTATTAAATTATTGCATTAAAGGATTGGTGAACTTGTGTGTTACAAAATAAAACTTTCTATGTTCATAGAAGCGTCAATTTAGCTCCTCTATTTACAATAATAGCAACAAAATCTTAAAGGACCTAACAATGCTACCAACTTCATTCTTGTTAGATGAGAGTCACCACCTTTTTGTTTTTGTCAATGGGGATAGAACGCCTCATGCCCTTGCTTCTTAGCATTTTTTTGTAACTTTTGCTCTTTCCTTTTTAATGCAATATGCACCCCTTAAAAAAATAAATACAACAACAACAACAAAGCCTTAATCCCCACTATTGCGGGGTCGGCTACATGAATCCTTTTTCTCCATTGCATCCTATTAAGTGTCATATTATCATTTAAAAAAATAATTAAAAAAAAAAAAAATAATAAAACTTCATTCTCAATAAATTGTTAAATTCTTAATGACTTGTTGTATTATTGGAAAATACATAGGTTCAATTGTTCATTTTAAAAACTTGTAGTTTTATAAAGTAAGTATGATTTCAACGACATGCACATAAATCTCGCTTGATTTAAAATATTAATCAATCTCGCTTTAAGAAATCAACTACATTCTAACATTATCCTACCCAAGCAATGCTAATCAACAATTAGACCAATTCTGTGAATTTGAGTTTTTCATAATTACGGAAATGTCAAATAAATTAATCCCAGAATATAACATCTTTAAATGTTATTTGGTTTTATAATATTCTTGAACATTGATTCATGGTAATCATTGTACCCTCTATTGGCACTAGATCGATTCTTTTTTCCAATTTTAGTTGAACTAATTGACATGAATCATGGTTGTTAGCGTATCTAGAAAAAAGTACATAAAAAATATTATTATATATATAAAAGTAAATGTACTTTCATTTATTGCTTCTTTTTTGTCGTACACATTATGCCTTAAAAACATGCATTACAATAACAAAAGACAAAGGATTTAATAATAAGATGACACATCTCCAAAAATCACTCAATATAGCGTAAAACATGAGACCTACAAATGCAACACTTGAACCTAAATCAAGAATTCGGGCTAACCAAATTCTAGGTTGAAACAAACTAGTTCATTCAATTAAATTATATTTTTTATTAGGATGCATTATCCATTCTAATAATTGTAGGATTAATTTCAAATTATTTGTTAGGATCAAATTGATTTGAAATAGGTTTGTTATTATCTTGTGCCTTGTCTCCACAAATGGGGTTTATAGCTTTTTAATGAAGCCTTGGTTTTAATTCTTCTAATGGTTAAGGCTTGCTATGGGGGTGTTCTTTTATATCATAAGTACAATAGGGATGCTAGTAGTGGCATGTAAGGTTGGTGTTGGGGAGGTTAGGGTTAAGTTAAATTTTATTCGGTTGAGAGCATGATGTAGGACTTTAGGCTTGACACATGGGGGAATTTCAAACCTTAAAATCACTTGAAATTGCTTTGGGGATGTTTATATATGTGAAATGGAGTTTTTGGGAATTTTTCATGTCGATTAAACAATGAATTATCGACAAAGTTAAAACTTGGTCATGCTCAAATTATTTTGGCTGATTTACTGTTTTCTTGAGTTTCTTTTTTTTTTTAAATTTTCGTGGGAGGGGCTACATTGAGTGGAGTTTGAAAGAGGATAAAGTTGAGAGGGACAAAATGGAAATTAACATAAGAAATTAAGAAAAAAACAAATTAAAAAAAAAGTTCTCATTAAAGAATACCGGCTCCTGAAAAACAATCAAAAGAGTAGGAAAAATAGTTTAACAATCATATGATTTCAATCAAAATTCACATGAAAGTCTCATTACAGTACTTACAACTTTTTTTTTTGTCAATTTCCTATTGATTTTGGCATTTGCTATTTAACATTCCACGTAAATAGTAGTGATTCCATGTTTGTTGAAGTAGTTGGACCCCCCTTGAGTGTATGAAGATTGTTTCGTGGGAAGTGGGGTGAGGTGGCCTCATTTTGTTTGAAATTGAATTTTTATTCCTCTTTTGTCACATATTGACTCTTGCATTAATTTACATGCATTTTCAATTCTATCCTCTTCATTTGACATTCAAATACCTCATGCAATGGCCAACCACTTCAACTAAGCTGGACCTTGCATTTTGTTTTATCCCGAAGTGACCCCTTTCCTCAATAGTTGTATATTTTTAGGTTTAATTGTTTTCATTGTATAAACACGTCATATCCCTTTGTAGACTTTGTTTTATTTACATACTATATTTTTTGGATTATTTTTCTTGATTTATTTTCTTAAATTTTCATATAAGCTTGAAAAATCCTTTGCAAATGTGAATTCAAAATTTGAAATTGCATGGGATGGTACATTGATAATGACAATTGATCTCTTAGCCTTGTAGCCTTATACTTTTTCAAATGGTAATTGCTAGGTTGTTTTGAAAATAGTAGTATTATAGATAAAATATGGTGTCGCTAAGTGTCAATCCCTATTACCTTAGCTCTTTTCCAATCCCCATTAAATTTCTTATCACATTTCATAAATATTTGTTGAATACCATTGCCCATCCGTTTTTGGGTGAATTGCTAAGGGGAATTTAACTGTAATAGCCATTACTTGTTGAAGGGTTTTTCAAAAAAAAAGGAAATAACCTTAACATTGCTATCTAAAATTATTGTTTTGGGCAATGCATGTAGCATGAAAATCTCTTTAGAAGAACTTTTGCTATATGGGATGTTTTATTTTCTCTATTTCTAAGGAAAGAAATTAGCATTTTAAAGAATTTATCTACCACCGCAAATATGTTGTCTACTTCAGTATGTTGGGTATGCCTAAACTAAAGTTCATGGATTACAAACTTTGTATGGTTTATTAGGAATAGATAAAGCAATGTATTTTTCTTTTTTAATTAGTTGTCTTTGCATGTTTTCATTTAAAAGAAGAGATACTTATCCTATCAACATCTTCTTCAGATATAGCCAATAAAATTTACACTCAACCTAACTTGTGCTCTTTTCCTTGTCTACATGACCTATAAATTCTTCATAGTGCGACTCCATTATCATAAAATCTCTAAGCAAGTTCGAGGAAGTGATTGTTTCTATATAAATATCCATCTCAAATTGCACTTGGACTTGCAAAAGATGTGTTTTTTCTTATTATCATGATATATAAAGTAAAAATTTTAGGGATGTAACTTGTTTGGCTTATTAATTGACACTTTGTTAATTTCAAATATAATTTCTCCTTTAAGTTCGTCCAAAATAGGCTAAGATGATAGATATTATGATTTCTATTTGAACTTAATATGAGGATATCATGTAAATAAATACTAAAAAAATTCTTAATAAATGGTTTTAACACAATTTTCATAATCCCTATATTAGACAAGCCTAAGGACATGAAAAGCCACTTATATGGCCTTTCTGAGGCTTTAAATGTTGTCATCTACTCATCCCCAAATTCAATCCTTATTTGACGAATATCTTATCCTAGACTAATCTTCATAAAATAAGTAGCTCTTGAAATTTGATTTACGTGTCATAAAGCTTAGTTATGGTAACCTATTCACTATTAATATATATTGTCTATGATTCATTTTTCGCAAGGGGCCATACAACTTAGACAACATATTGAAGAAGGCTTTCCTAGGGAGTTCATCAATGTTATCTTCAGTTTGGCATGCTCAAATAGGTTCATCCTATAATTGGGATATTTGGAGATTGTAAACTAGGAACTAGTTATATAAAGTTTTTTGTTGAAATTTTGTTACTCTGAATCATAGCAAAGAACTTAATGCACGTGAATAGCTTTTTTATGATTGGATTTATTTCTCTATGATCTTCGGATTGCAATATGTTTGCTTTCCTACAAAATCGCTAGCCTCTAATTTTTTTTCTTCTTTTTTGATTTATTTCAATTTCTTAATGCCCATTAGAGAGAGAGACACACACACACACACACACACACACACATACACACATAGATAAGCACGCGCGTGCAGACACACACGCCTCCTCTTTTATACAAAAAAAATCTAATAAGATTCATGAGTTTTTTTTTTTTTTTAAATTTTATCTTCTATATTGTATCGAAGAAAGATTAGAGTGTTCTTTTCGGTCATTATTCTTATTCTCTAAGGTTAGGGTTTCCAATTTCAATTTTATCCCTCTTATTAAATTCTCCTTCTATTCATTGTCTTGGCTTTTTGACTTCTTTTTAAAGGAGTCGACTGTGATTAATAGTGAAAATTAGACAAAAGAGAATTTTAGGTTTTTCAAACATTTTATGTTTTAATAAAAAAAAATATCTTAAATGGTCTCAAATTATGAAGGCATTTCTAAACGGAAATGGAAAGATCAAATACTTTGTGGGTATCTTCGGAGCTCAAAGACTAAATGTAATTCGAGAAGAAACTGATTCTATGATCATCATATGGTTGTGGAACATCATGTTTTTGGAGATTAGTAGATCTTTTATATTCTTCTTCACCATAAAAGAGATTTGGGATGCAATTAAACAACTCATTTAAAGATGAAAGATATTGCACTCATCTATGAAATCAAAACAAAGCTTATCTCTATCAAATAAGGTAAATATTTTGTTATTGAATTCCTTGACGCCATGAAAGTTTATTGGCTAGAGTGGAACTAATACTAAGTTATTAAGATGTCTTGTTTTGAGGATACAATGATCCTTAAAAAATTCCTGGAGCAAGAGAGAATCTTGAGTATTTTGCAGGATTCAATAATAAATCCGGCCAAATTCAATCCAAAGTCTAAGCAAAAAAAATACTCCTTTATCTTAATAAAGTATCCTCCCTTATGAGCTAAAGAAGGAAAAATGGTGTGATCAATAGTTTGGCCTTCGAGATATTTGTCAACAATTTTTGAATTCTATGGTAAATAATTGTCATAGAACATTCTCCAAATAATGATAATTTTTTTTTTCAAAGACGATCTCTGGCATGTTTATTGCCAAAAGAAAATGCATATCAATTACAAATGCCAAAAAATTCATGAAAAGCCCCAAAACTATGAAGGAAGTGAAGGGAAAAATAAAAAATAGGTAGGCTTGCCTAGTGGAGCCAAAAATACTTAATTTAGTAGAAATAAACAAATTAAGGAATTTACTCAATGCCTATAATAAAATGATTTTTAATTTTGATGCTCTTAATGCCAATAATAGTTCTTACGTTTCTTGGATTCTAAATTTAAAGGTCACTTACAATATAACAAACCTTGCCAATATATTTTGAGTTTACAAATTCTATCATAACAATATGAAAAGAAAATTTTCATGTGGGTTTTTAACAACTATTGTACGATAGGGAAACGTTTTAATTTCCTTTAACTTAACCCTCAATAATGTAGTACATGTTTCACACATTGCAATTAAGATTTTATCTATCCACAAACTTAACAAATATTACAATTGCAATGTCATTTTTTTTTATTATTGTGTTTTTTAGGATCTCTCTATATGGAAGCTGATTGAGCAAGTCAGAGAAAATAATGAATTCTACTTTCTTAAGAATTGAGATCAATTATCATATTCCTTCACCTCTCACCATCGACATCATTTGGACACGCCATTATAGATTATGGTATATTTTTTTAAAAATCTTCTTGTATGTTTTTTTTTTCATTTTTCATAAATACAAACATTAAAGCCTTTCACTGTGAAACCCTTGAAGTTACTATATCTTATTGTGTGTTCTTTTTTGAAAGTAACAAATAACGCATGATAATTTAGTTCTTATATATTAATCAAATCTTATATTTTAGAACCCTCTAAAATCTTTAATAATTATGTATTTATTAGTTTTACCACTTTTATTGTTGATTATACTCTAATAATATGAGTAGATTTAATTAAATAAAAATTTGATGTTAGCACCATGTTCCCTATATTTACTGCAATAATAATTAATCAATTTAATTCAAATGTCAAATTTTCTTGAACTAATAACGCTCGTTAATTTTTTAATTAAACTTAGCGTCATTCTTTCAAAATCATTGTATTATTTATTGTTCTTTTTGCGTTGAAACTCCCCAATAAAATGGAGTGGCAGTAAGGAAAAATTTTTACTTTTTGAAGGTGTTTCTTCACAACTTAATACCAAAATAGTATTAGAGAGAAACTGTTATAATAGCTATTTATTTAATTAATAGAATATCCTCTAAACTAATTGACTTTAAATTTCTACTAAATTATTTGATTGAACGTTTTCGTACAAAAGGCTATTTAAAGATTCCTCCTAAAAATTTTCAATTCATTGCTTATATGTATTCATAAACAACATAGAGAGAAATTTGATCAAATGCTCTTATGTGCAGATTTTTCGAATATTTTGCCACAAAAATGGTACAAGTGCTATTGATCACCCACAAAAAGATTCCTCACTTCAAAGTATGTTACTTTTTATGAAACTCATAACTTCTTTTCTTTAGCTCATTGATATCGGAGTTAACCCAAAAATAATAGAAAAATAAAATATTATTGCTGAAGTCAAAATAAGGAAATATAATCTCACAAATGGAAATAGAAATAGTAACAAACACGACACATTAGTAGGGTGAATCTCAGGTGATGGTGGCCATTATGGGCTCCGGAAAGATGACAACATGGCGGGGAAGGTATAGGGCTACTGGAAATCAATAATAAGACAACACCAACTTGTTGTACTGTGCGACAAAGAATCGGGAATGGCTGGAACAGTTGAAATCAACAAAAATATGCTCTCTCTGGGTACAGAGATGAGAGGGAATAGCAATGCGTGAGCTTCTGGAGGCGGTAGTAAATGTGGCATGGCAGGTGAACAACAACAATGCGCTGTGGGTGGTGATAGTAAGGGAGGGGAGCGGAAGGTCTTGGACACAACAGTGATAGCGAAGAGGAGGGAGTGGAAGGCAATGGCGGCTATCGGAACTGCAAAAGTTCAACAAAATATGTTGTGCGTGGCGGCTGCAACAGGGATAGATGACAGTGATAACGAAGGAAGGATGTAGAGGGTCGAAAAATCGGAGATAAATATTATCGCGAGAACGAGCTACGGCTTGAGCACCCCTCGATCTCTTAGAAGGAGATCATTACCTCAGACGAACTACAACCGGAGCACCACTCGCCTTTGGATACAATCCTGGAAGGGAAAATCCGGGATGCCGACAGCTGTCCAGAATAGACATTAAAAAACGGAAATTGTAATACTTCAAAATCATATATATATAAGCCCTAGATAACTAGGATTGTATCATCCTACGAAAAGGAGGAGTTAAACCAACGTGGGAGAGCCGGTCAACCCTCCCAAGTCTGAACCGAATCGTTTCAGATGATAGAATCGCAAACAACAGTCTAGCAGTACTGTAAGTAAGGTCACAACATTGTAATACATTGTAGCACACTGTAACAAACGTTGTGTAAATGCTTTCTGGGTACACCCACGTCATTCATCTTCTATGGGAGAATTCATAACTTGATGATAATTTTGATGATATTTTTTATTTTGACATTTATGTAATTTAAAATCCTACAAATACAAATGTTATATTAATTATACCCCTTCAAGTCTATATAAGAAGGAACAAACCAAACAAAGATCTTTAGTAAATATAAGACTCATAACTCTTAATAGTTTACACCACTAAACCCGCTACCGCTCATTCATAACCTAATTTTTAGTACACCTTATTTCATAAATTTTCTTTTTATAATATTTCTAATCAAAATCATCATGAATTTTTTTATTCCACAAATTCTATGTGAGGCACTTGAAAATAGAAATTGGAAGAAAACCATGAGAGAAGAGAAGAATGTCTTAGAAAAAAAAACATATATGAGAAATCCTTGAATTACTAGAAAGAAAAAAATTGACAATTATTTTTCATAGTCAAATACAAAGTAGATGAGAGCCAAGAAAGGTATCAAGCAAGATCAACTATCAAAAAACTTTTGTTCCTTTAGTAAAATATAAATAGTATTCACATATTGATATTTATGGTAGCAAATCATGGTGGCCTATGCAATAATATAATGTAAAAAGTACTTCTTACATGGGACATTGAAGAAGAGGTCTATATGGATCTGTCATTAGGATTTAATAGTTTTAAAAAAAAAGAATAGGATTGAAAAGGAATCTATATGGACTAATACAATCACCAGAAGTTTGATTTGACAGATTTACAAAGGCCATGAAAGGAGCTGAATACAAATAGAGTAAATGAAATCATATATTCTCTTCATAAAGTTGTCTCTTAATGACAAAATTTCAATTTTTATTGTATATCTTGGTGACATGATTGTTATATAAGATGAAAATTAAGACAAAGAAGCTCTTGGGAAAAAAAACTTACCAAAGAATTCAAAATCAATGAGTTAGAAAATTTTAAATACTTCTTGGGAAAAGAAGTAACTTGATTGTGCTCAAATGTGTAGCACATTGGTTGAGAATAAAATAAAAATTTTAAAGGTGTCGGTTCAAACACAAAAAAATCTAAATAAAGGATGTTTCACTCCCAACATAAATGTTGTATAGACCTTTTGAAAATGGCCAAGATGATGGATTGCAAGCCATATAAAAACTCTAACAGAACTAGGACAAAAATTGGGTCTTTATGAAGAAGTAATTAATGTGGATGATAATTTTAAAAGTTAGTAAGGAATGGAATCTACTTATCTCACGCCTATGTTGACATCACATTGACAGTAAGTCTAATCAATTAATTCTTTCACAGACCCAAAGTATCACACCTTCAAGCTGCTTATAAAATTCTATGATATTTTAAATCAAGCCTAGGAAAATGATATTTATACAAAAAATTATGATACCTTACAAATTGAAGGTACACAATTACAGACTATGTTAGATCATCGATGGGTAGATATCTATTTCAGGGTATTTTACATTTTTAGGAGAAAATCTTATAACTTGGAGAAGCAAAAATTAGCATGTCTTTAAAATCAATTGTGGAAGTTGAGTTTAAAGCTACTGCTTAAGAGATATGGGAGTTTCTATCGATCAGATTTAAAAATTAACTGAAAATAATTTATAAAGATATATTATGATATTAAATCGACGATCATTATTACACACAATCATGTATAAGATGGTCATATCAAGCACTTTGGGGTTGATAGACAATAAAAGAAAACATGGAAAGTGGTCTGATTTGTACTCTATCTACTGAAAAGGAATCAACGGGCTAAGATATTCACCAAAGGATTTTGTAGCCCAATATTTAAAAATATGATAGAAAAACCTAGAATGATTATCCAATTTAAGGGGGATTATTGAAATTGTGCTACTCCAATCATATTAAAGAACTTAAGGCACTTGGATCATGGCTTTGTATCACCAGATTTGTTTCTTAATTACTCTCGAATTGCAATATGCGTACTTTTCTATCGGATCGTCGTTGCCCTCCTTTTTTATCTATTCTAATTTTTTTAATATATATATATATATATATATGTATATATATATGTATGTATATATATATATGTACATAGTTGGTGACCGACTGTTCTGTTAGGGTTTTTCCCTATGGAGAAACCCTGATTTGATTCCTTCGTTTTTAATTCATCCTTTCCGTCGTGCTCGACAACGACGAAGTTCTCGTACTCGATGACAAAGGACTTTGCGCTCGTCAATCTCCTCTGCGATCATCGTCTCCTCCTTCACCCCCTACGACGAAGGGCTTTGGCGTCTTCCAGCTTCTGCGATTTCGTCTCCTCCATGCCATCCAGCTTCTGTGTTTCGTGTCTTTTGCTCGACTTTCGTAAAGTTGCGGTTTCTGAGACTGCAGCGATTTCTCATCTGCGGTTCATGTCCTCTGCGCAGCTTCACCCCGACTTCTTCGGCTTGTCATTTTGGCCCTCTGCCCGACTTTGCAGGGCTTCTACTTGCTGTGATGAAGCTTTCTTCTTCTTTGGTGGAACCTGACAAAGCCGTCTTTGCCCACGTGGTGCCTAATCCTCAGGGGGAGACGACAGTTGTCTTCCCCTTAAGTTATAAGGAGTGTCGTGATGGTACAGGTGACCGCCCCTTTATTAAGAATGTAAACAGAAAAAGTGGGAAGACAACATTTTTTTCTCTGAGTTAGAAATTTCAACCATAACTGACAAATTCAAGTTTGCTCTTATTGGAAAATTTCAGTGGGGACACCAGTGGGGAAATTTCAGTGGGGACACCCACCTATGGAAGTTATCAGAAAAAAATTTTGATGATCTCAAATTAGCAGGAAAATAGAAGGTGAGGCTCATGGATGAGAGACATGTATTGATTCAGTTAACCGTGCCTGAAGACTACACTCAGATTTTCTTAAAAAAATACCTTAACATTGTTGGTAAACCAATGAAGCTACTCAAGTGGTCTCCGAATTTTGACTCTAATCATGAACCTCCTACTGTACCGGTATGGTTTAGTCTACCTGGTCTTATTCCATTAGTGCCATATTTGGGGATCCTATGATGCTAGATCTACTCACTTTCAACCTTACCAGACATTCTGTGGCCAAAATACTTTTGGAAAGAGATATTACTTTATATCATGTTACTGAAGTCTGGTTGGACACAACTCATAGACTCATAATAGATATTGGCAACAAATATCATGGAACATAAACCTCCTTATTGTTCTCATTGCAAGATGTTTGGGCATACCATTGATAAATGCCATAAGCTTCATCCTAATTTGAAATCTAAAGATCAAGTGAATGAGGATGAATCTAAGGATATATCTGCTCCACTCAGAGAGAAAATTACTACAATATAGAATTTGGTGTCTGATTATATTTTCCCTGTGGACCCTCCCACTAAAAATACTGTTTCTGCGATCGATGAGAAGTTGGATTGCCCTGCTAAGCAACCTACACTTTTAAACCCTATTGAAAACAGTACTGAATGACCCATATCTACACAGACTGATAATCAGGAGAACCTTGCAGCTCCCCATTCTCAAGAAGTATCAGGGGTAGAGGCGATAACTCTTACCTCACATACATTTAAACCTTTTATGGGCACAATTGTTGGCAATCTTTCTACTGCAGCACTATCACCTCATCCGAATGAGAAACAATCTTCGGATGAGGAATGACAGGTCTACATTTCCAGGAGGAAAAAGAATAATAAACATCTACTTGTGCTAAAAAAATCTAATGGATGTTACTTTGGTTACTTCGGGCAATTGTATGCATCTCACTAATTTGTTAGCTGGTTCATTTCCAGGAACTAGAGGTAGAGGCAGAACTAAACTTGGTCGACCTGATTGATCTTATATGTACCATCTTCTTTTGGGTTTTTAATTTTTTTTTTGGTGTGTGTTGTACCGTGTGAGATGGGTGCCTATATGGGCCCACTCATACAACCTATCTGCACCCTTTTCTCTTTAATATAATTGCTCTTGGGCTTTTATT